TGGGCTCCAGGAGCGCCACCGACGCGGAGGGGAGCAGGGGAGCAGGGGAGCACCTCCCCGCCCCGCGCGCGCTCTCCGGCAGGGTCCGAGGGCCCGACGCGCAAGGCAAAAAAAAGGCGCCACAGGCAAAAAAACAGGTCACGATTCCTTCTTTGGGCCCCAGGAGCGCCACAGGCAAAAACCCAGGTCACGATTCCTTCTTTGGGCCCCAGGAGCGCCACCGACGCGGAGGGGAGCAGGGGAGCAGGGGAGCACCTCCCCGCCTCGCGCGCGCAGTCCGGCAGGGTCCGGGGGCCCGGCGCGCAAGGCAAAAAAAAAACGCCACAGGCAAAAAAACAGGTCACGATTCCTTCTTTGGGCCCCAGGAGCGCCACAGGCAAAAACCCAGGTCACGATTCCTCCTTTGGGCCCCAGGAGCGCCACCGACGCGGAGGGGAGCAGGGGAGCAGGGGAGCACCCCCCTGCTCCGCGCGCGCTCTCCGGGCTGAGGAGGAGGAGGAGGAGGAGGAGGAGGAGGAGGAGGAGGAGGAGGAGGAGGAGGAGGAGGGAGGGAGAAGGAGGAGGAGGAGGAGGAGGAGGAGGAGGAGGAGGAGGAGGAGGAGGAGGAGGAGGAGGACGAGGGAGGGGAGGAGGAGGAAGAGGGAGGTGGATGAGGCGTGAGGCGGAGGAGGAGGATGGAAACGGAAGAGGGCAGAAGGGGAGGAGGAGGAGGAGGAGGAGGATGGGGAGGTAGAGGAGGAGGGAGGATGAGGAGGTGGAAGAGGAGGAGGAGGAGGAGAAAAAAGGAAGGAGAAAAGAAATAAAGGAGGAGGCGGAGAAGACGAGGAGAGGGAGGAGGGAGCGAGGAGGAGGAGGAGGAGGAGAGAGGAGAAGGATGATGAGGAGGAGGAGGGGGGGATAGGAAGGATAGAGGAGGAGGAGGGAGAGGAGGGAGGAGGAGAGGAGGAGGAGGCGGAAGAGGGAGGGGAGGAGAGGAGGAGGAGGAGGAGGGGAGGAGGAGAGAGGAGGAGAAGGAGGAGGTGGAGGAGGGAGGGAGGGGGGAAGAGGAGGAGAAGGAGGAGAAGGAGAAAAGGAGGAGGAGAAGGAAAGGAGGAGGAGGAAGTGGAGGGGGGGAGGAAGGAGACAAGAGGAGGAAAAGAACATGAGGAGGAGAAGGAGGAGGAGTAGGAGGGAGGAACGAGGAGAGTGGAGGAAGCGAGGGGGAGGAGGAGGGAGGAGGAGGAGGAAGAGAGGAGGAGGAGGTGGAGGCGGAGGAGGAGAGGGAGCACGAGGAGGGAGGAGGGAGGAGGAGGTGGAGGAGGTAGAGGTTGAGGAAAGACGAGGGAAGGAGCATGCGGAGGAGGAGGATGAGGAGGAGGAGGAAGAGGAGGAGGAGCAGGAGGAGCAGGTGAGGGATAAACGAGGAAGGGGAGGAGGAGGAGGGGAGGAGGGAGGAGGGGAGGAGGGTGAGGAGGAGGCTTGGGGAGGAGGAAGGGAAGGAGGAGGAGGAGGGGAGTAGAGGTGGGGAGGAGAAGGATGAGGAGGAGGAGGAGAAGGAGGAGGAGGAAGAGGAGGAGGAGGAGGAGGCGGAGTGGAAGGGGGAGGAGGGTCAGGAGGAGGAGGAGCAGCAGCAGGAGAAGGAGGAGGGGGAGGAGGACAAGCTAGGTGCGCGCGCGTCTTATCCGACGTTCTACCCCTCCCTCCCATCCCTTGCCATGACGTAGATCTTCTTTCTATTGGCACCATGAGATGGCGAGCAGGGCAATGATTCCGAGAGGGGTCGGGATGCACGGCAGAGCGTGGTATGTCGGACTTCGGCGACGACGGCGACGGCTACGACGACGACGACGACGACGGCGGGGGGGGGGAGGGAGGGGGTGGGCGACGAGGAGGAGAAGGAGGATGAGAAGGAGGAGAGGAGAAACAGGAGGAGGCGGAGAA